AACTGTTTGGGGAGGCGCTTTTGGTGCTTGATTTACTACTCGTACTTCTTCTAAAGAAGGATAAAAATTTCCTGTTTCTACTGTTGCTGTACTAACGGTATTTTGGATAAGTGGGTTACGTCGAAATGCACGAAGTATGATTCGTGGAGTTGAAGATTCGGGTGCCGAAGGTTGTGGCTTCTTTTGGCAACATGAAAGGAAAGAGAATGGTATTGTTATAATTGCGAACGTTGCTTTGACAGTTGCACGAGCGATATTAAAATGGCAATACAAAACAATTAGGGCAACTAGTATAACCAAAATGATGGTTACAATGACTATAATTCTTACGAGATTGTGTAAACCTAGAGAATGTATGACTCTGCTTTTCTCCATTTGGAGAATATCAGACGCTTGTGACTCTATATACGAAATAGTTTTTACGGTATCTTGTCAAAATTCACGAAATCGCTAGATTCAGCGGAAGGATGCTCTTTACTGATAGAAGAAACATCAGCGTTAGCAAGTCTGTTCTTCATAAATCGTAAATCAGTGGTAATTCGGGCTAGATCTGAGTGGAATATAGGTGGCGCTTTGAAAACGAAGTTTTGCGTTGCAAAATCTTGTGGAAGATTTACAGGAACTTGAGATACATGGGCATATCCTGTTGGAGATTTATAGTTATTTGTTCCATCATTATAGATGCCAAAAGGAAGATGTCCACAATTTGCTTCGGGACTGGAAGTAGATAGGTCTCTGGTTCCTGGATTAGCGAAATAAATGGATTTCCCGATACGAACCGGGGTATGGAGGTAACAGATGCCATTGACATTATGATTAGAATAGACTTCGTCAACGACGACTTGTTTACACTTCGAAATCATAAGAACATCTCCAGCAGGTATGGCATATATATCATTTCTGTTTAGCAAAATACGAGCTGCACTGGTGGGGTTTATCTTAGCAATGTTTCGTATTGCTTGAATTTTGAAATTTGTTAGAGCACAAATGCGGTCGAAAAGAGTCTTGTAGTCGTGTGTGATAGTTTCTTCCAATTTTGTTTTGAGAAATTGCATTTTTGTGTTCAATTCGTAATGGCGTTGATCTTGTCGTTGCTCGTGAGAGAGAGAAAGATTATTGTTGAGCGTACTAAAATCAGGCTCAGTGTTAATGGCGGTGAGTTTGGTAACTTTGGGTGCGCCAATAAACCCCATGAATTTGGCCAAAGTGTAAACGGTTGCAAGGCTTCTTTTCGATCTTACGGAGTCTTCAAGGGATGGTGTGGAAGTTATGAGATTATTTTTACTTTGATACGTGGCATTAAATAAATGATGCATTTTTGACGCGTCAATGTGTTTTTTGTTGATATCTTTGATCATTTCTGGAAATTCAGTGAACATGGTACGCGGATTATGGTTTAGTATTTCTGGAAGTGTGATAAAAACACCATTATCCATTGGTATGGAACTGTTGGGCAAACACCAACTTGAAATTTGAGTAGACGTTAGCGTTATATTACTGTATGTGAAAGCTGATTGTATATTATCAACAACTATATGAGTTGGAGTAACATAAGCAATTCCTTGCGTAGCTTTTACAAACTTACAAATAAAAGGATCTTGTTCTCCGAAATTCCAGATTACTGTGCCATGTGACATCTTACAGTGTTTATCTTCAATGCGACATTGAGCCATATCACCAAATTGACCGATGATGGTCTTGCCGTCAAAAGTAGCAATATCAGCTTGTTCTATATACACGTTAGTCGTAAGCGTACATTTTTCACCAAAAAACCAAGGATATGAATAATGTATGGCGTTTTCCGAGCCATAAACATTTGGTGATAACTTTTGCATAGGTACTCCTAGAAATTTCTTTATTTTGCTAAGCGATTCACACAGTGCAAAATCTACAGGAGACATGTACTCGTCATCACTGTTTACGGAGAAAGATATGTGAAGATAAGACGAAGCACATATTTTCCTGGTCTTATTAAAGCAATGAAACGCGGGTAGAAGGTAAGGTTCGGTGCGTTCCACGTAGATTTGCGCTGTTGTTACCAAAATGTTTGTAGAATTTGGAGAGTGTGTACACGATGTTGTTTCTGGATAAGCGACAGGCCAACCAGATTTTCCCGCAGAACAAAGTTGATAAGTTTGTAATGAAAGTGCAGAAGCATTAGGTAAAAAGAGGGAAAATAGTGCTACAACAAAAAGTGAGTATGGACTATTAAGTAGTCCAGTGGAAAGGTTTGTTGAGACTGAATTAACCGGCCTCTGGCGTTGATTACGGTTTGGGTTACGATTATTTTGTCTATTATTTGAAAAATAAGGTGATTGTTCTCTTTGCCTGTTATTGGAAAAATTTGGGGGTGTTCTAGATCTCGACTGTTGGCGACGATATGGTGATTGTTGGCGGTGATTTGGTGATTGTCTATGCTGATACGGCGATCTACTGCGAGCTCTATCAGAACGGTCTGATGGAAGTGGCGCGAATCTAACATTGCGTCTTTGCGGATATGGAGAACTTTCAAAAAATGAATTTGGTGAGCGAGCACGCGCATAACTGCTAGAAGTCGATGTGTAAGGATTTTGCGAGTATGGGTGGTTATTCCATCGTTTTCCGTGGTATGGTTTATGAACCATGTTAACAGATGTTCTGGGTACTTCAATATTATCTAATATTCTATCCATTTTGGCTAGAATAGTATCATTCGCAAAAGATGAAGTATCCGACTGAATCAAACCGTGAATACGTTCTGATTCTTCAATAAGTTTTTGATGGTCAGTTGGAAGTGGACCAAGCAATTTGAGTTTTTGTTTGATTTGGTTCTGCAAACCATTTTTAAAATGTGTCGTTAGTAAAAAAGTGCGATTGGCAGTATCGCTATCGCTTGGATATGCCTCAAGAATTTGTTGTCTAAGTCTATTAGAGAAAAGTGTGGGAGATTCTCCTGGAATCATTCGCATATCCATCAATTTTTCGCGGGCAGAATCCAAAAAATGGTCCGTTGAAAAGTGGCTTTTGAGTTTTGCTATGATTGTTTCCCAGCTAATTCTGTCTTCTGGCGCCATGTTATCGTAAACAGCTTTTGCTACACCTTTTAAATGTGCTGGGAGTAAGCGAACCATTTTATTGCTTGTTAAACCCATTATCGAAGAAATTTCTTCAAATTGCGTGATAAATTGCATAAGACCTTTGGGTCCTTGATCTCCAGAAAATGTTGGTAATTTGCTACTATATGAGGAGAGAGTTAGTTTATCAAAAACCGTATCCAAACGATCTATGAAAGTTGCTTCAGAATGATGATTTTGAGACATTGAAGCGTGATCCATATTTTGCGTTGCGGTCTGATTTGAGCAAACACTTACAGATGGCGAAATGTGTGAAAGATTGTTAGCAATTTCCTGTGGTAACAAGATTTGCTGAGGTACTATTGTCGAAAAAACCTGTTCTTGAACGAAATTTGAGGACTGTTGTTGAGAGGTTAGTGTTTGAGCTTGCTCTTGGGTTATAGGAATGAAAAATTCCTCTTTTTGGGATATAAAAACCTGAGGTTGATTTTGAGTTACGGGAATCAAAGGTTGAGCGGGCTCTTGAGTTGCAAGAATTGGAGTTTCTTCTTGAGTTACCAAAGCTTGTGATTGTTCTATGGGAGGAGTAGAGACTCGAGAATTCCCAGCTTTTGGTGATGAACGAAGAGATGAAGAATCTAGAGAAACTATCGAAGAAGCTTCGGTGGGAGCTACTGAGGAAACTTCAGTAGGTGGAGAAGCTACGCGACGTTTGACAGGACTACTTGATTTATATTCACTACACCTTACTCTATGAACTTTATGCGATATACGTGAATGAGATCTTGGTCTTCTTTTAATAGTCCCACGCTCGGTTGTATTGCAAGGTTTTGGAGACGCACAAGAACTAAGTTCAGTATCAGAACTGTTCATGTAACAGCAACACTTTCAATGATAATGTTTTGCAAAAAAAATTATTTTTTTTTTCAACAAGAAAAAATTTTTTTTCGAAGCTCGATCGACTAAACGTGAAGGCAACCGCAAATTCGTCGGGTATCCGACAAATGAGGACCACTATCGGCACGAATGGAAGAGAATATCGAATAACCAAACGCGAAGGCAACCGCAAATTCGTCGGGTATCCAACAAATGAGGACCACTATCGACACGAATGGAAGTAATGGAAAAAAATTTGTTTGTAAAAAAAAAATTTTTTCTCAAAGTACAGATATTTCCGTACTAAAGTTGTTCTTTTTAAATTAGGGCAACCGAGCGGATGGTTAGACGTGAATGTTATGCTATACTTGTGTTACTATATAATGTATAAGTGTATCTGGATCGCACCTGTATCCTAATCGTTGCTTCACAGGTTGCGGTTGAAATAGGCTAGTTGCAATGTAGAGGCTTGATGGTTGAGCGGTGAGCGAGATAGTGTTGTTCGTTGGAGAGGTTAGTCGGCTGGTTGCAGGCTAACGACGGCGGCGGGCGATGAGATACAGTAGGTGTACTGTAGGAGACTTGAAGCTTAGAAAGCTTTGGAGGAAGCTAGAGAGGAAGCTTGGAGACGACCGATTGGTGTGGACACCAATGTATGGAATGATCCAAGACTAGCGTTCGAAGGCGGGTCGAGTAATATTACGATAAATGGGCGGAGCTAGGAGTAAGGGTCAAATTTGGGGGGGGGGGGGGGGGGTAGAAGAAAAGTGTAACAATTTCGGTATCCCATATTTTGCTATTATAAATATGTATTTTTTTTGGATAGTCATATAAAGTTGTACGAACATCGTTGCGCAATTTTGGGCGTGCGTACAGGATAGTTTCGGCATGGATAAAAGTTTCGGCAGGATGTAAGGCTATGCGCATGATACCTGCCATTCGCTTATTAGCACTGGTCAGGCAGTGGTCGCTCCTCGTTGCTACAAAATTCTTGTTATCATTATTTCCTCAATTGCAAATAAGTTGAAGTCTGCCTTTATAGTGAAAACAAACTAACTACCTGCTCATATAATGTCAAGCTACGCTGATGGGCCAGAATCTACCGATTCGGAATTCGATGATGTAAGTTTTGCTTTCGTTTCATTACGCTATAAGATTCTAAGAAACATTTTGTTTGTTTTCCAGGTGTTTGATGCGTACTTTGATCAATATTCTACAAGGAATTCGGAACTGCAGAAAAAAATTGATGAACTGGAAACGAAACTGGGACTTCAAATGCTTGAAAACAGGAAGCTGAGAGTGGCTTTGGAGGTGCAGCAGAACTGCTCCAACCGGCTGCAGGAGCAGCTCCGAGTTCAGCAGAGGCAACACGAAAATGCCAAAACACGCTATGAGGAGGTGCTGGCACGGTACGATAGGAGAGTGGATGCGCAGGAAGCATCTATTGCAAAAAAAGATGATGTAAGTATTATATTATTACTTTTTTTTTTTGACTACATATTTAATGGAAGTAAAAAAAATTCCTCAAGTGTATGTATATACTTATCTTTTAGGAGGTAGAACGATTGGTGTTGGATCTGTATAAAGCTAGGCGTAATCTCCCAATCAAGCGTGGCTATAATGAGCAGCTACATAATGTAGTTCTTCATGATATGGAAGAGGAGGTCATGATGGCGAGCCTCTCTAGGAGAAGCGTTACCAGCTCCTACATAGATGTGCAAGGAGATGGACGAGCTACTCTTACTTTGCTATTATGTGATGATACGCATATAAGCGGTTAGTTTGGTCTAGTAATCATTAAAGTGTGTAAGGTAGTTACAATTCTTTCAGGTGTTATGAGGACATCGGATGGTAGGCCATACAGTTTCATTCGAGACTGCGAAGACAATGTATGGAAGGGCGATCATGAGGGCCTTTGCATTGGATTTGGTCATTTAACGATGACCAATAATTGCGGAAGGATTCCATTGCTGGCTCGGTTCTCGGCCATGCTGGAAAGGAGTCTAGATAGGACTCGAAGTATTCGTTTCATCAATTTTGATGAAACGGAAAGGATTACGACAATAATGCAAGAAGGTCGGAGGGTAGTCATGCGAACTTAGTTACATTGCTAGGCCAGCGATGTTATGTATGTATGTTTCTATGTGTTCATAAAGATTTGAATTTGTCATGTTTTGTTGTCGACAGCAGAAAGTAAAATTACGACAATATAAGTTGCGTAAGACAGACGCTTGCGGGTCATATTATGCAACTGTTGTTGTTAGTCGCGCGTCTCAATCGTAAAAGATTACGCAATTATTAATCCTGTTCTAAGGTTTATCGCGACACGAGCAGACGCGAGCATTGCACTAATCGCGGCTGTAAGGTCATAACGCGCAGATATCAATAATCTGGCGCGGGGTCACATGCTTACAACATACGAGGGCAGCTGCGTTGCTTTATTGCCAGAAGGAGGTCACCGCGCGCGAACAGAAGCACTGGGTTTCGCTATATTTCCTGAGAGGTCGAAGCATTACGATTGGTCGACACTTCCCAGCAGAAGTTATCTGCAGTGGGCCAGCAGATTTATCTTTCTGGGTCTAAAACTGCAGTTTTTATTTGAGCTAGCGATTGCGAACAAGTCCATTGTCTAATTATTAAAAAAAAAAAGAAGAAAAATAAGAATTAGTTAACGAAAAATTCACGGAATCACGGTTTCACGGATTCACGGATCACGGATCACGGATCACGGATCACGGCTGCTAAATGCGCTTTCGAATTCACGGATTCACGGATTCACGGAATCACGGATCACGGGAAATGCGGGCGCTTTACGAAAGAAAGAATTGACAAAAATGGGACTGTTCGCAGGACTGTTTAAATAATTTTTATTTTATTTTGTTTAATGTTTTTTTTCTTTCTGAAATGGTTAAATATTTGACTCATACAGAGGTTAAATATATCACTCACACGGCTAATATATTTTGCGCAAAATAAAAAAAAACACTCACACACAATTGTTCGTTGGTGACTCCATAACGATCGATCGAATTGTAGAAGGGGGAGGGGTAAAATTTTGAAACCCATATCAAAAGTGAAGGTGAGAAAAAAAAATTCTAGAATTCTTAAAAAAAAATCTTCCCTGGGACCTCCATGTCAAGTCTAGGGGTGTACGGGCCCTAGCTTGATGAGTGTAGCGGTACAGGTAGGTATTATATATATTTATTATTTACATGTTATTTTACAATAAGGGGGAAAGGGGGGGAAGACTGCAGAAGCAGCCTTACGGTGCACGGTCGTCGGGGGTCACTGATCCTGACTGCCCTCCATGGCCAGCCCCCGGGAGAGCAGCTGTTTGAGCTGAGCTGAGCTGCGTCCCGACACATAAGTGCTTCAAAATCTCTTGAATCAGCAATCCTATCGAAATAAGGCTACCTCTGAGATGGGGACAAAATGCTGTAAGATTTCTTTTTTCTTTTTTAAAAGGCGACAGTCCCCGAGTGTAGACCTTCACATTACAATGCTGATTACAAGAAAAAATTGAAATTTAAAGGATTTAAAAGTGACTCAAAGAAGCTCTTACAAATGGAATGGTGAAAAATTGATAGAATTTGCTGATGACCCAAGCAGCAAAGTCCGCGCAAAGTACAGGATGCAAGATAAAGGATCAACGGGGTATGGCGCCAAATGTTATGGATTTCCTTTCCCTCTCGAATGGAAGGTCTTTGATGTGACGATGATTTCCATTTTAATTTGGTCCTCACAGTACTATCTAATGTTATGTTATATTAGGTCGTGTAATAAATTCTGTCCCATTTTTTGTTTCAGTTTTTTCACGACAACATTGACTTAATTTAGGATAAAGTGTATATGCTTTTGAAAGCTCCAAGTCTGCTCTGCAGGCTCATATGCATCATCCCCGAACATAGCAAGAACTTGAAGAAGATTTTTATCATTGAAACAGAAAATCCAAAGAGCGGAAAAATCAATTTTCGACACCATTTTCCCTCCAGGTTTTTCTCGCTTTTCGTTGGTAAAACTTATTGAACAAGCTTGACAACAAGCAAAACAATCTATTAGACTCTTACGCTTCATTCTATCAGTGTTTGCGCTTGTTCTCTCCCTTCCACCGATTATTTAATGACATTTTTTCAAAAGTCGGCAAAGCAAGACTTTGTTCACGCCGATGTTCGCCAGATCGCGTGCCCAAGCTGTGTGGTTCCCAAGATTCGAATTTTGATATTTAGCCTATAAATTCGTTAATTTTGGAGCGACAAGCCATCCACTGTCTTTTCTAAACGATCCGTCTACCGTCCTCCTCAGAATGATGCCGAACGTCAACGTTGAAAAGGCCCTAAAAAAAAGACTTTTCTTAAGTCTACAGAAATGATTTCTGAAAATTTTTGGCAGTCCTGAAGCGCAGTAGAAGCTATAGCATTCTTTTCTTACGTGTAACAAATTTTTTGAGCTCATTCGTAGGCATTCTGACTAATTGGAGGGTGAAGTAACGTAGTTGTCGAAAATGGATTTTTTCCCTGTTTGATTTTCCAAATTTGACGCTGTAAATCTCTTTCAAGTCTTCTGATGTAAAAACCGAAATGGAAGTTTTATTAGAAAAGGCTTAGAGCTTTCAAATGCATATAAACATTTTGCAGAACATCGAGCAAATATTAAGAAAAAATCGGAAGAAAAGATGAGACAGAACTTATTACACAACCTAATAGTTAAGAAAATAAATTGCAGGGGGAATGGGACCTAATATCAAGAAGATCAGTGTGTTGTTGATGCTCAGATAAACACTCAGAAAATTCATGAAAACCGTTTCTAATTACTTTTACCAAACATTCTAAAATAGCCTGCAGACATGAAGCTTCAAAATCGAGTTTTGTTTTCGCACCCCTGGGGTTTCCCAAGAGCGTTAAACACTTGTCTTTTACAAATTCACTTCCTACGGACATGAATACATAAAAGATTCCGTAATTTTCAATTTCAAAACAGGTTTTTTATCGGATTACTTTGAGAGATGTAATTACATTCCAGGCAAATTCAACCCTGAGGCTAAGGATTTTAGCGATACTCCGTTGATAAAGTCGAAAATTTCAAAGGAATGTCCAGCATTAGTGCTATTGCTGGTGATAGCTTCCCCATAGGCCCACACTTGAAAATTATTCTGTGGGTTTTATGTCCTTCGTTTTTGACTTAAGAAATCTGGAGCACCAAAGTTAGCAGCAAAGGTTGAGAATGTAGAATTTAGCCTTTCCTGCAAGAAATTTGACAAAGCAACTTCAAAACAGTTTCTTGATGTTAAAAAGAATTTCCCTTCTGCTGAGAATTTCGCAAACTACAGGGAGCGCTTTGGATTATTATGTCGTCTTACTGTAAAATACGTTCAACACGGTAGTTTACGGCACTTTGTCTAGCAAGCCACGGAGGGTTAACTCAGGCGCAACTGAAACGACAGTGAAAGTTCGTCCACAAGTGAACAACTGAGTGAGAGAGAGAGAGAGTCAAAATAAAAATGAGGGAATAGAAGCCTAGAGCTGATCACTCCGCAAAAAAATGAGTGAATTTTTTGAATGTGAAATGAAAATGAATGGAAATCTTGGCGATTAGATCGCGACGATTAAGTCGCGTGAAGTCTGTCCGGTGCCTAAGGAAAATCTAAATCACTGTATAACAAGCTTGAACAGCGAAAATCGAGGTTTTTACCCAAGAAACCTTTAAAAAGTGAAGATTTTTTGAACGGTCGTTTGGAAAAACACTCAGGAAGATTGGAATGGCGATGTCTGATAATAAACAAGCTATAGGGAATAGATGTACATGTTAAAATACCAACCATTTCACATTTAGCGAATTAGGCTGCGAATCTTGCATGATACATGAGATAAAAAAAATAGGAAAACCTAAACTGCCGGAAAGTTCTCTTCACTAGCCACTTAATTCGATAAAATAGCTTTCCTTACATAATCTGCTGACATGTAACAGCGCAAAAAAAGTTACTAACGTCGCTATAATTCGTTTATTTATTATAAAGCATAAGTATAGATGCATTGTTTCGCACCAATGAAAATGACAAATGAATAAGTTGCTAAATTCACAAATTTGAGCATCAAAGTTGAGCACAATTCATAGAGCTCGTTCAAATCGGTCCATACGAAGTACGTAATGCTGCCTAAAAAGTGATTTTTGAGGAAAAAAAATTTGGAAAATCAGCACAAAAACCTTACCTTCCTGAATTATCTACCGATAAGGCACCTGCTTCACCAAGAATGAGATAGCTATCATTGACAGATGGTGTTTGTCCAACACAGCGTAGATTGCATTCTCGAAGCCATATATCCAGCTTTTCTGAGAAATGACAAAGTTGTACACATAGGAAACAAGACAAAATTGAAAAAAAGACAAAAAAGAAAAGCCACCTGAAATCTGATGTTCAGACGCTCCCCGCTTTTCTCGAACTTCTGTACGTAAATGTGTGTAGTACGCATTATTTACAAGAATTCGATCAATAGCGCGAATCCGCAAAAGTGCACCTGAAGAGCTTCGTTTATAAAGAAGCCTTAACAGTTTGCAAAATTTTGAATTTTAACGAAATTCTGAGGCAGTAAGATGAAATTCTTGATATCTGCGACATTATCTCTCGTACAAAGACCACATTTCACAGAACATGTAGATTCTGCACGTGAACATTGCCCTGAAAGAGCTTCATGCAAGCCAAAGTTTAACTTTCATAAAGTTAACATTGTATTCGTCCTGCACCATCCACAAAAGTGTTAAGAGCACTGCTCGAGCAAAATGGAAATTGTGGAAATTTCATTATATCTCATAGCAGACCGCCTGAATGAGTAATGCCCAACTACGAAAGCGACTAAATACGCTGAAAGCGAGAAAATTGCCCCGGATTAGTAGCCCGCTGTTACGGTATGCTAGTTCCGAGTCGTCGTTAGCCTTCTGCACGAGACCCGCAAATGATTACTGTAGATAACGCACAGACCGTTACCTTGAGTCTATCACAAACCATTTTGGTTTAACAAGGGACGGTCACGAAGTCGAATTGGTCGATCACTGCAAACTGCATACTTTTTGTGAGAGTTAGGAACTTTGACTTCAAATTTGCTTTCCGCATCCGCAGAGCGCCTTTGGTAAAGAAGTTATAGGCATTTTCTGAAGCAAAAAAAAATTATTGGGCGGGATAAAATCAATCGCTACAACCTTTATAGAAATCAAACGAGTAATACGTAAGTAGTACTGATATACTGAGCAGAAGGAATTTGTTGTTTCAAGTATCCCGACAATTGCCGCTGCTTCATTCAAAGTCTGGAGAGGTGCAGCGATTGATTTTATCCCGACTATTAATTCAATCTTCTGTCTCAAAAATTGTTAATCACTTCACTCCTAAAAGCGCTTTGCAGAAATCGAAAGATGATTCGAAACCACCACTCCATACTCTTACTACTGGTATGCAACTTGTGGTGCTCGGTCACCTCAACTTTGTGACCCTCCCTCGTACTTACTTACTTCATTCTTACCTACTCTATCCGGTCAGTGAATCAAAATATCGTATCGTGGACCAATCTTCGTGGAACGATTTTCGCCATGTTGCCTCGAACTTACTTCAACCTACCACCATCAAAGCAAATTGTATCGGACTCGTCAACGATGCTCGTGGAATTCTGTAGAATACTGTGCGATGAGACCCGCCCAATTGTCCTTTCACATGCCTTTATATTTCTACGTAAATGATTATTACAGACTTGATAAACGTGAACCAAGTTATCTGAAAAAATGCAATGTAGCCATAGTTTTATCATACATAATAGCTACCACACTCTTCGAAACTGTCAGGATAAGGCCTCGGGCAGAGTTCGCGCGATTTCATCCCTGCGATTCTTATCACAAGACAAATAGTTACGATTCTATTGCATGTCGATCATCTTGCATTTCGATTGTGATAGTTAGCCATGATTGGTCGTGTTGGAGAACTACCACAACCAAAATGCAAGATGATCGGCATGCAGTATAAGTGTTTGTCTTGTGATAAGAATCGCGGCGATAAAATCGCGTGAACACTGTCCGAGAAGACTTTTTATTCTGGGAAGACTTGGCGATATTGGTGAACTACTCAAAAAGCCATAACTCAATAAAGACAGTATAGATCAGATGGAAGATATAGCTATAAAAAGAGGATAAAAATTTGAATCAGAAAGCACCTAACTCGTCATCGTTAGGTGTTCTGTGAGTTTTACTAACCGATGAAAGAAAACAACAAAACTTTCGGTAAAACTTTATATAACTTGCATTGTCTGCCTATTTTGGTTCAATTTCAAGAACAGAAAGCTATAAGCTAACTTAACAGAACTCTTCTACTTCTCATAATGATAAATGGCACAAGTAAATTGCAACTGTAGCATTCTCCGCCATACATAAGCATGACTGTTGAGAAAAGTATTTCGAAAAGCATTTGAACTCATAATGCCGTGGGCAGTTGCCGGTGCGGTATTACTTACTCCTATCCGAATTTCAAAACTGTAAATCTGCATTCGGTATGAGGCTGTCATTATATGAAATTCCTCGAAACAAGCTGAAAATCTAGACGAGGATGGCGACCAAGAAAGTAGCACTGCACGACTCAAACAGTATCTATAATCGACATTTTCGAAGTAATGATTGAACTAATACTGTCTAGCCTAGAAGACTTCCTGGAAGACCTAAGTACAAATAGTGAGTGATTTACTTTCCATAGGAACCTACAAGAAGATTGATATTTGCCAAGCAACTCAACACAAGATATACAAAGACTGTCTTCTAAATGTATCGGAAAGTCGTGGGATATGAGAAAAATCATTTTGCATAACCTTTGAGATAACGCATTTCAAACAAGAGACAACCGTATTGGGTCGTAAATGATCGGATGACGATGGAATGGTCAATGAATCACTGTGCTCGCCTGCAAACAAGCATTTTTAAGAGGCTTGCGGTTTTGAATAAAATCTACGATGATCGCATCACAGACACTGCAAAATGATTTTTTTCTACAACGTCATAAACTCAAATTTAAGACTTGGTCAGATAAAAGGCAGCGTTCCAGCAAAGTAATGGGTACTGGAACTTAAAAGTGCTGTGATGGCAGGCCCTCCCCAATTAACCCAACTGCGAAGAATGGAAAGAAAGGCGCGTTTGGAAATTACAATCACTCCAAAAAATTTTCGGACCCTACTCCTCGTTCCGAACCCGCGTCCTTACAGGTATTTTCCAGCAAATGCGGACAAGAATAGCTTCGAAAAGCCCATTTTAGCCATTTCTATACACTACAAAGCAAGATATGACTTCAACTTGGCGAGAAGGACCCGGAATGGTTAGAAAATGAGGCGAAGTTCTGTCGTGCAGCACTAGTTTGATTTCTCTCAAACCAAAATTTGACCGAATATCAACAATTATTTTAATCAGCACACCCACTAATGCAAAACACACCATCAATCGAAACAAAAATATTCAAAAAAAACAATTCAAAATTTTCGTAGAAATAGTCACCTGACGTTTCTGGCTTCGCCTTCGATCGACGCTGGAAGATTTCCTCCATCTTTGCATATCGCGATGTATATTGCTAAAATAAATCAATGATCGATTTGAAGCAGACGATCAAAAATATTACCTTCTGTCAATCTGGGGCTTTTTCACAACAGAGCTACTGCTTTCGTCAGCAGCGACTACGGCCCTTAACCGCTTTTCAAGGACTATCGAAGTTGATTCAACTCGAACAATGCTCTCTTGGTATTTCTTCCCCGCAGAGGTTCATCAGAGTCACTCTCCCAAAGCGAACTGTTCTTAAGCTCTTGCTTGCGCTCGCTAGGACGCTTCATAGTATTTACACGAAATGCATATTGCCTAACAGGAAGTTCCTGTCCCTCTTTGACTCCTTCTTTCGACTTCTCTCCGAATTGGAAGTATAACTTCAGGAGGAGTTTTTGTTTCAACAGGTTGCGTTTGGAGCTTTGACTCTCGAAGGTCTCCTCCCATAGATCGTCTTGTATCGGCGTAGTCTCTAGCAGAATCTTGGACTCGCTCGTAAGCGAACCACTAATGAGATCTGGTAAAGCCATAGCATTTATCTAAATGTTGCAGAAATTTATCGCTTAAGCACAGGTTCCAACGACAATTACCTCTTTTCCCGCAATTCCAACTTCATTTATGCCATGCTCAATGGCAGTTCGTATACAGTCGATGTCATTTACGTACTCCCTTTCGCATGGGATGTACGCATGCGCAACGCAAAGGCCCTGCGCGAGGACCTCCAATCGATGAGGCCCGTTTGAATGCCTGAGCCATACGCGCACGAACGTGGCGCGAAGCTCACTACGCTTACGGAAAAGTGAGCTCGTGATTAACACGGACTTTAGCTGCCAATTTCTCAGACTCCCTGCTTCCAGCTTCCTAAAAACAGGTGATTCTGAAAAAAGGCAGGGGCGCTTGCCAAAGATTTTAATTACTGGGAACTAGGTATTTTTACTCTCTCAGGTTCGGGTAGTTTACGCAATTCCATCGCCTCGCGACTCTTCCAACAAGACAACTGTTACGAGTCCATTGAATATCGATCGTCCTGCATTTCGGATGTGCCAGTTAGTTACGATTAATCGTGTCGGAAAACTATCACAGCCGAATTGCAGGAGCATCGGCATGCAATGGATTCATAACTGTTGTTTTGTTAGAGAATCGCGAGGCGAGGAATTCGCCTCAACTCTGCCCGAGGCCTAACGGTTAATCAGTTTGCGGCTGACAAAAAAAACACGCAAAAACGCTGACAAGTACCCAATAACGACGACCACGGGATTTTCCCCATAATGTTCGTAAAAGGCTCGAGCAGCTGCAGGATAAACCACTTTGGTTGAACATATACAGGGCTTCACAACCTGAGTTTCCCACCCGCCCCGCTAGGACGCCACGCTTAGGTCCGCGCAGCGTTCGCGGCGCTGGCTGCGCGTCGACTGAAGCTTGGTGAAATCCGGGCGATACGCAGCAAACGCCGCGCGCGGCCTGAGCGAGGCGGCCGCGTTGGAGGAGCCGCGCAAGCGAAACTTGCGACTCTCAGGTTGAAAAGCCCTGTAAGAAGGTCTGGCAATGAAAGAGAACTCATTTTTACGCTGGGAACCACTTCCTGCCTTTTGTCGTCTTCCAATCTGGAGAGAATGATACCGAATTGTACAACCTGTTGCAGGAACTTGTTTTGCGATATATTCTCGATCAAATCGTTTAGCTCGTCCACCAAGGAGTTCTTTTTGACTCGCACTTTTGTAGCTATGACTTTCAGCCTGATGAGGTTCACAGCATCGAAAGTGCCAAGCTTTTGCTTGTCCATGATCTCGCATAGCTGAAAAATGGGATAAGCATCACAGTTTCATGCAAACGGTCAACGCTTCGCGAAAGGCCCCCAAATCTGGCGAGATTGCGCAGTTAAGTGACTTTAATACATCTTTAGAATGAATAACTCAATAAGCTACGGAAAATGAGAAGAGACGCCGGGCTAATAACACAACTAGGTACTTTCAAGGCTCGTTAAGCCTTCATGTTGTAGAAAATGAAAGGGATTACGATGACAGAAGGAAACATGTCATCTATTACGGTTGTCACATTGCGAAGCAGACGGATTGTTCGACTCTCTATGAACCTCGGCATGGCGTAGATATTGTAGTTGTTTATGTAAGCCGCACTCGAGATTGGTAACAATTATTTATTGGGTGGCTGACAAGTGCGGCTTACATAAACAACTACAATATTACGGTTGTATCAGACTGCCGCACTGACCGCAGCAGACTGCAGCAGACTGCAGCAGATTGCAGCTGACTGCAGCAGACTGCAGCAGACTGCGGCTGACTGCAGCAGACTGCAGCAGATTGCAGCTGACTGCAGCAGACTGCAGCTGACTGCAGCTGACCGCACTGATCGCTGCATCCTTTAGTAAAGGTAAAGAGGATGCACAGTTGTAGCCCAAACAATCAAAACAATATATGCTTAGCCCCAAAAGACAATACGAGCGAAAGTAAAACAGGTATATACAATAACAGGAGGAATCAGAACAAATGCGAGCAAACCAAAGAAAAACAATCGCTAAAATTTGAATGAGAAGAGTAAGTTAGGCCTTATGAACTTCCTATGCGTAAAACACGGTGTTTTGACGTTGTCAATTGTTTTCTCTTCTAAAAGGGTGCAGCGATCTGTGCGGCCGTTGCGTCAGTGCGGTCAGCTGCAGTCTGCTGCGGTCAGAGCATAGGTGCGATAGGGGGAGCCGGGCTCTCCCCAGGTGAAGGGGGTCTCGGCTGTTCCCGACCTTCCAGGGTGAAGGGGGTGTGTGAGTCTAGGGGGGGGAGGAAGAGAGAAAAGGTAAAAAAGCGTGGTATGAAGAGCTCTAATTTGTACCTTATTTAGGCACAAATTGAAAAAAATTTAAAAATTTTCAAAAGAATTTAAAAAATTTTAAAAAATTGATTATGAAGATCTGTGCTCCTGTTTCATTGCATCAACAAAAAACGAAAGCAATAATGTTTATCCCAAAAGATGTACAAGTTAGGAACAACTTCATTTCCTGCACATCATCATCAACAATATCACTATCGCTAACGTCAGAGACAACAAGTTCGCTGCCTGAAAAATCTTCTTCTTCTACCAAAAGGTCATCGGAGTAGAAGTAGAATTGCGTGCAAAAGCGTTCTGAGTCGAAAATGGATTTGAAACTTTCTTCTTCTTTTGAGCGCTTTTGTGATTTTTTTCCTGGCCCTCTGGTAACATCAGGAAGTCAGCAGGTAGGTGACCAGTTTCTTCATACCTTCTTTTAGGATATTTCAAAAAGTCATACGGTAACAGCCTGTCTGGACCACTTATACCAATCCTTCAAATGAAGTTTTTAGATAACAATGTGTTTAGTAGAAGATTGACAAATCTTAAGTATTTGCTTAGATGCTCTATCGTTGTACGACTTCTGCGTAGTGTTCTGATAACAGAGTAGATAGAAAATTTCTTTCTCCACCTCTGCCGTGCTACTCGAAATGGAAACTAGCTTTGCTAGTAGGTCCATCAGATTTTTGCGGTAAGTAATGGGAAAAGAGCCAGATCTCATATGCTTTCGCAACACGGGAAGGAAATAGTGCATACTTTTTGGGCCTTGTCGAACTCTGGCTTCACCTCCTCTGGCATACGTCCTGTTATTAGCTGATTAGAAAGCTGCTCAACTTCTTCTTTAACATCATCTGCGGAATAGCCGAAAAAAGGAGGTACTATGCTGCGCGTTGGTTTTCGGGATCTAAGCGCAGTAACTATGCTTTGTACTAACACCTTCCTTTTGTTCATATCCATGTTTGTGAATTTAGCAGCCTTGAATTCTTCAGCAACCTGAAGATCAGCAATGGACTTCCTGGACATTTCCTCATTGAAACTAGACAATCTGCTTGGATTTCTTATGCAGGAAATCAGAGAGTTTCGCTTAATTGCCAACTCTGTATCAATGTCGACAACATTTTCGTCGGCGTAAGATTCTCCTTCTGCCTCGCTGTTGAACTGGAACACATGCGAGTCATCTGCCATTTTGTAAAGTATTCTGCCTGCCGTTTCCTCTTCAAACTGCCAACCTTTCCAAAACATTGAGGGATATTTTAATAACATGTTATTCTTCTGAATGTCTTAGAGTTTTTAATTCATTGAAACCAACCATTCTCTACAAATTAGGTAAGGTGAGTCTAGAGCGTTTTCACGAAAGTGACCTTCTTCAGCACTAGGTTTACAGAGTATAGATTCCAGAAGTGGGCGGGTTTTGTGTGAAGGTGTGGAAATTCACAAATCTCCCATAGTTTTTTCTGCTAATAATGATGGCATAACTGTCAACCAAAAGCGCATTTTTTACCAAAAAAACATAAACATATAACAACGATAAGCACTCTCAAATAGACGCGTTCGCTCACGTTCCCGTTAGTGCTGATAACGATGTCAATCCATAGCACATTTTTTACTATTAACGTGCTCCACCTCGCTCTTATTAAGTCGTCCAGAAAGTTTTTGCGCATGAAGTTTAAAATTCATAACTTCTCATTTTTTCAACCGATTTGACTGCTTTCACTTTCATGTGAAAGGGTAAGTCATGCTCTTTATAATGACATCTCAGCTGCTTAGTAATGGTCATCTGTTGCACAGATAGGAGCGATAGAAGAAAAATGGTAAAAATTTTAATTTTCTGTGTAGGTCATAAAAAATCGACTTGCAACAAAAATCGGAGCAGCCAGTACTGTAGATTCTTTCACCAGCTCTTTCTAACAGTGCAAAGTTTGCTCCGATTGAGCGTCTCTATGAAAAGTTATGATTTCCCTGAAGAATGCCAAAATAAATCAAATTCGCCTTTTTGTACTGCTTGCTCGGAAATTATAACTTTTCATGGAGACGCTCAATCGGAGCAAACTTCGCACTTTTAGAAAGAGTTGGTGAAAGAACCTAAAATACCGACTGCTCCGATTTTGTTGCAAGTTTCTGATTTTTTATGACCCTACACAAAAGTCCAAATTTTGAGTGATTTTGTATTGAGCTTCTATCTATGCAACAGATGACCATTACTAAGCAGCTGGGATGTCATTATAAAGAGCGTGACTTACCCTTTCACATAAAAGTGAAAGCAGTCAAATCGGTTGGAAAAATCGGAAGTTATGAATTTTGAAAATTGTGCGCAAAAACTTTCGGGACGACCTATACAATGTGTTGGCTTTTATGGGTCACCGAAGCAAATGATTTTTAGAGCCGGGAAGCAAAGAAGCCCTAACATGCTGTATACCATTCGAAAGCTGAGATCATGGAGAATCGACGTAGACCGTCGACTTTTTTCTAGGTCTTCTGTGCCGCGAGATATGAGGGATTTCATGTGCTTCAAAAATTAACTGATTTTGTATCCTCACTTTCTGCCCTCCAAATGAATGCTACGAGAAAGTCGACGGTCTACATTTGTTAATGAAGACTTGCTCTTTAACACAGATAGATAATCAGCAGTGATTAGGTCTTCATTTGGCAGAAATCTGCTGTTGAAAATGACCATGTTTTCAGATAAAATGCGGTGTATCTCTCGGTAGAGGGGGGCTAGAAAGAAGTCGACGGTCTAGGTCGAATCCCCTTTTCCTGAGCTTTCGAATGGTATATAGGTTGCTGGGCGAAAAAACTAACTAGTTTTCAAAAATGGGGTGGAGATATTTACTATAAGCTTGCTCCAACCCAGCTCCACCAATGTATTGGCTTTTATCGGTTACCGGAGCAAATGATTTTTAAAGCCGGGAGGCAAAGAAGCCCTAACGTGCTGTATACCATTCGAAAGCTGAGATCATGGAGAATCGACGTAGACCGTCGATTTTTTTCTAGGTCTTCAGTGCCGCGAGATATGAGGGATTTCATGTGCTTCAAAAATTAACTGATTTTGTGTACTTACTTTCTTCTCTCCAAAATGCTACGAGCATAAATAAATAATATAAATAAACATAAATACCGCTTCTTTAAGAAATTTATGATTGTACTTGTTGTTTGAGGTACTTAGCCTGCTTTTCATAACGATTTTATCATATTCTCAGAGTACAATACCAATCTCAGCCCAGGTGAAGGGGGTCATCGGAAGTTTGGCCTCAAAGTGAAGGGGGTAAGATCCATCACTCCCCCTATCGCAACTATGGGTCAGAGCAGTCAGCTGCAGTCTGCTAATTTGTTATTTGTAAGTTCGTGACTCGAAACCGCTATGTACAAATTGTCTAAACAGGCTCAATCTTGTCCTCTCCTGCTCCCAAGTAGCAAACAATCCTAAATTAGATGGATCACAAGTTTAAAGTTGTTAGCCACAGGATCAAACTTGTTTTGACAATGAGTGCAAAGCGGTCTCGAGTCTATAACTCACAGAATGAATGATATCTATCAAGTACAATCTTATATATAAAGCTGAATGTCTGTTTGTCTGTATGTATGTCTGTATGTCTGTATGTCTGTATGTCTGTATTTCTGTACGTATGTTCCGAATAGAAAATTCCATTTCTCAACCGATCCGGACCAAACTTGGCACACATACACTTCGGGCCCCGGCGGGTGTCAAAGGCTACTTTTCGTCATCGATCGATATCGATTTTATCGATTTTTTGCCCCCCGTGGGGGTGATCAGCATGCTCGATTACACCCTTCTGCCAAATTCCAGCCCCCTAGCTCAAATTTTGCAAAAAATCGATAAAATCGACATCGATCGATAACGAAAAGTGGACTGTGAGACCCGCCGGGGCCCGAAGTGTATGTGTGCCAAGTTTGGTCCGGATCGGTTGAGAAATGGAATTTTCTATTCGGAACATACGGCGGAGCCGGGTAAGCCAGCTAGT